TGTTCCATTGATCTATGTGTCTCTTTATGTGCCAGTGCCATACTCCTTAGTACAGATTTGTAGTAGATCTTGAAATCTGGGATTGTGATACCTCCAGCTTTTTCTTTTTCAAGATTGCTTTGGCTATTCAGGGTCTTTTCTGGTTCCATACAAATTTTAGGATTATTTGTTCTAGTTCTGTGAAAAATGTTGTTGGTATTTTGGTAGGGATTGCATTAAATCCATAGATCATTTTGGGTAGTATGAACACTTTAACAATATTGGATCTTCCACTCCATGAGCATGGAATATCTTTCCATTTGCTTAAGTGCTCTTTCTTTCATCACTGTTTTATAGTTTTCAGAGTGTAAGTCTTTCACCTCCTTGGTTAATTTTATTTCCAGGTATTTTATTATTTGTGGTGCAATTGTAAATGGGATCATTTTCTTAATTTCTCTTTCTGCTACTTCATTATTAGTGTATAGAAATGCAACAGATTTCTGTGTATTAATTTTGTATCCTGTGACTTTACTGAATTCACTCATCAGTTCTAGTAGTTTTTTGGTGGAGTCTTAAGGGTTTTCTATACACAGTATCATGTCATATGCAAATACTGAGCATTTTACTTCTTCCTTATCAATTTGGATGCCTTTTGTTTCCTTATTGTTGTGGCTAGGACATGGAGCACTATGTTGCATGAAAGTGGTAAGAGTAGACATCTTTGCCTTGTTTCTGATCTTAGAGGAAAAGCTCTCAGTTTACCACCATTGAGTATGATGTTTGCTCTCAGTGTTTTCATATATGGCCTTTATGTTAAGATATGTTCCCCCTAGTTTCCCTTTGTTCAGGGTTTTTATTATGAATGGATATTGTACTTTGTCAAATGCATCTGACGATCATATAGTTTTCCTTTGTCTTGTTAATGTGATGTATAATATTAATTAATTTGTGAATAATGAACCATACTTGCATCCCTGGGATAAATCCCACTTGATTGTGAATGATTTTTTTAAGTTTACTTATTTATTTTTGAGAGAAAGAGAGCGAGCGAGCAAGCGAGAGAGAGCGAGTGAGCGAGCAGGGGAGGGACAGAGAGAGGGGGAGAGATAGAATTCCAAGCAGGCTCTGTACTGTCAGCACAGAGGCCAGTGTGAGGCTTGAACTCAGGAACTATGAGATCATGACCTGAGCCGAAACTAAGAGTCAGATATTTAACCAACTGAGTCACCCAGGCACCCCGTGGTGAATTATTTTTTAAATGTGCTGTTAGATTTGGTTTACTAATATTTTATGGAGGATTTTTGCATCTCTGTTCAGCAGAGATATTGGCCTATAGTTTTCTTTTTGTAGTGTCTTGATTTGGTTTTGTTATCAGTGTAATGCTGGCCTTGTAGAATTCATGTGAAAGTCTTCTTCCTCTTCTATGTTTTAGAAATTTTGAGAAAAATAGGTATTAATTCTTCTTCAAATACTTGGTAGAATTCACCTGTGAAGCCATCTGGTCCTGGACTTTTGTTTGTTGGGAGTTTTTCGATTACTGATTCAATTTCATTGTTACTAATTGGTCTGTTCAAATCTTCTATTTCTTCTTGATTCAGTTTTGGTGTTGAAGTCCTTTACCTTTTGTTCATCTGGGCAACTCTGTATCTCATTCAGTTCTGAATAACTTTGCTGAGTATTCTTGGTTGTAGGTTTTTTTTTTTCCAGCACTTTGAATATACCATGCTACTCCCTTCTAGCCTGGAAAGTTTCAGATGAAAATTCAGCTGATAGACACATGGTATTTCCCTTGTATGTAACTATTTTCTCTTGCTGCTTTTGAGGGCACTTGTTGGGATGAGTACTGGGTATTATACGGCAACCAATTTGTCAATAAATTATATTAAAAAATAAAATTCTCTATCATTATTTTTTTCCACTTTAATTATTATGTGTGTTGATGTGAACCTCCTTGGGTTGATTTTATTGTGGACTCTCTGTGCCTTTTTGACATGGATGTTTATTTCCTTACCCAGATTATGGAATCTTTCAGCTATTATTTCTTTTTTTTTTTTTTTTTTTAATTTTTTTTTTCAACGTTTAATTATTTTTGGGACAGAGAGAGACAGAGCATGAACGGGGGAGGGGCAGAGAGAGAGGGAGACACAGAATCGGAAGCAGGCTCCAGGCTCCGAGCCATCAGCCCAGAGCCCGACGCGGGGCTCGAACTCACGGACCGCGAGATCGTGACCTGGCTGAAGTCGGACGCCTAACCGACTGCGCCACCCAGGCGTCCCTCAGCTATTATTTCTTTAAATAAGTTTCTGCCTACTTTTCTCTCTCCTTTTCTTCTGGGATCCCTATAATGTAAATATTATTATGCTTAATGATGTCACTGAATTCCCATAAGTTATTCTAATTTTGTATTATTCTTTTTTCTCGTTGCTGTTCAGCTTGCCTGCCTCCCACTACCCTGTCTTCCAGATCATCTATTTGTTCTTCTTCATATTCTAATCTGCCATTGATTCCCTCTAGTATATTTTTAATTTCAATTATGGAGTTTTCTAGGATCAGGAGTAGTTTCATAATGTTGGAATTAGCTGTTCTTTAAAGGTTGAACACAAGTAAGCTTTGAAACCATTTGATCTTATTGCCCCACCCCCTTTTGTGGTAGATTTTAAAATACTTTCCAGGTTTTTTTTTTTTTTTTACGCTAGTAAATAACAGTGAGCTTTAGAACCCAAGTTTCCTGGCTTGCTTTGGAAAATTATACTACTGTCATTTAACATTGTTTTATAACTTTCTTTCAAAGAGTTCAAATTCCATTATAGCAATTACAGAAATCAGAATATCAAGGTATTAGAACTAGAAGGAAACTTAATAATTTAACTCAACCTTCTGATTTCAAAAACGAGTTCACGTTTGCACTAATTTTTACATAATTTAATCTCAGTTATGAAGGTAGTTTATTAGGGGTAACTTGAGATGTACAAATGTTCATATAAAATATACAGTCAGATAAATCTGGTAATATATGATTTAGAAAATGTTAGCATCCTTCATTTTCCAGGTTTAGATTAAGTGATGTTAAGCCAGGAGCTGAAATCCCCAAGAGGTATTTTTTTTAGGGATAATCTTCACCCATTAACCTGATTACCAGTTAACTTTTCTAAATCATTCTTTTTTCTTTTTTTTTTTTAATTTAGAGAGAGAGAGAGAGAGAGAGAGAGAGAGAGAGAGAGAGAGAGCACGAGCACATGAGCAAGCAGGGGATAGGGAGAAGGAAAGAGAATCTCAAGCAGACTCCACATTCAACATAGAGCTTTAAGACGTGGGACTTGACCTCACAACAATGAGATCATGACCTGACCTTAAATCAAGAGTTTGACTCAACCAACTGAGCCACTCCAGGAGCCCTTCTAAAACATGCTTTAGTTGTTTTTATATATTGGTTGTGAAGACCAGTAGAAACAGATTCCCATATATTTTCACTTTATTCTCACCTAAAAGTGGGAAGGTTTGGAACAAGACCGTGCCCTTTCCTCATGATCATTAGACTTTCTTCCACATCCAACTTACCAAGTCTTTGTCTAAAGCCCCAGGGACAGACTTGCTTCTTATGTTTACAGTATTCTCTAAATCTTCTGGAAATGACCCACTCAAATCTAATTCAGATTGACTCCGGTCTGGAGGAAGGAAGAGAACAGGAGAGATATCAATCAGCTAATTTTGTTAGAAGATTTCATTTTTTTAAATGTTTGTTTAGTTTTGAGAGAGACACAGAGAGAGAGAGAGAGAGAGGAGAGAGAGAGAGACAGAGAGTGGGGGAGAGAGAGAGAGAGAGAGAGGGTGCCCATGTGAGCCAGGGAGGGACAGAGAGAGCGGGAGACAGAGGACCTAAAGCAGACTCTGCACTGACCGCAAAGACCTCGATATGGGGCTCAAACTCACAAACCATGAGATTATGACTTGAGCCGAAGTTAGATGCTTAACCGACTGAGCTACCCAGGTGCTACAATCTCATTTTTCATTGCCAATGTTTTATCATTATTTCCATTCTTTCTAGGCACAGGGCATGGAGTGTTAAGAAAGCAACAGTCAGAGAAACTTCATGCTGCTTACACTAACATACTTTTTTTAAATAGTATTTTCAAATTTTCTTTGACGACATTATCAACACCGATGCGTTTGGTTAAAGGAAGTTAAATGTTCTATTGTAAAATGCAAATTTTTAAACTAAGACTTCTGTTTTTCTCATAGACTAAAAAACTCTCACAGAACGGGGCCTTAAAATATAATGAGCTCTTAGAAAAAAATAAATAAAGCATTAATCATTCTTGACTTATATATTTAGAGAATTCACTGTGTTTTTACATTTGACATACAATGCTATTAAAGGATATAACAAATTTCTTTCACATAAAAAGGGATTGGCCATAGGAAAACTGAGAGAAAGTTCCATTTCTTCAGGCACAAGAATAGTCTTTCATCAGAGGAACATCTTGCTTTCAAATATGTAATTGTTTGAAATTTTTAAAAAAATTTTTATTTAATTTTATTTATCATTTTTTTTTGAGAGAAAGAGAGACAACACAAGTCAGGGAGAGGGGGAGACAGAGGAGAGAAAGAGAGAATCTTAAGCAGGCTCTGCACTCAGCACAGAGCCTGACGTGGGGCATAATCTCATGACCATGAGATCATGACCTGAGCCGAAATCAAGAGTCAAATGCTTAATCAACCGAGCCACCCAGGTACCTCTTAAAAAAAAATTTAAAGAACAATGCACCACTCAGTAATGCTGTAGACAACTTACTAAGACAAAGACAGTTCATTTACACAGAGTGGTGGTTCTATGTCAAAGCCCTGCTGGGATAGACATAGTTGTTCACTACGAGAAAGATTAAAGAGAGCAAGTTCGTACTTGAGTTTGAAATGGTAAATGAAACACTGCAGAAGTGCTTAGCACAGTGCCTGACACAGAGTATGTGATCAAAAAACAGGAGCTGTTGACTAGAAGGAGTAGAAATATAATCTATGAGGTTGGCCTGTAGACTAGTTAAAAATTTTTCTATTAACAGGAGAAACAATTTTGCAGTCCTGAACAAAATGCAACAAGAACCACATATATTTAGAAAACCCTTTGTGAGCTACATGACTAGGAAAGACTCCTCAACTCAGCACACAGAATCTAGCCTCAGGCTTTATGCAAATATCATCATTAGGTAACAGTTAACCTTTCCACGTTGAGGATTCTGTCATGATTGTAATTCTACATAAGTGACTACTGCAAATGTCTCTAAAGAATTTTCTTATTCGTAGGTAATAAAATTGCAACATAAATAATACCTGTTTCACAGGGTTGTTGTGATGGAGAAGTGAAATGATATACAGTATTTGAATGTACCATCCGAATGAAAAGGGTTATTACTCACTTTAATGCAGCTTACAAGGAACTTTTTATTTAAACCACAGGATAATTATTCTTTCTAGATATAGGGCATTTTAGACCATCATGTCTACTGAACTATCATTTCCCTGAATTCTGGAAAAGTGTTATCTTTCTACCAAATGAACCAATTATATTTCCTACACTCCTATACTGATGTTTGGTATAGCTCTGAAACTTGACTGACAAGCATATACACTTAATGAATGGATTTTGCATGAATGCAGGAGGCTCAAGGTGTCACCTGGGTCCACATTTAACCTGTTCTTATGGAATGGACCTACCATCACGGGTCAAGGGACAGATGATTATTTTCTAAAGCATGAAATATCCATTTAATGTCACACAAGACTGTCAATTCCAAATGACTTAGTCAAGGGTGCCTGGGTGGCTCCGTCAGTTATGCTTCCAACTCTTGATTGTGGCTCAGGTCATGATGTCAGGGTTTGTGAGATGGAGCCCTGTGTCAGGCTCAGCGCTGACAGCGTGGAGTCTGCTTGGGATTCTCTCGCTCCTCTCTCTGCTTCTCCCCTATGTTCACGTGTGCTCTCTCTCTCTCTCAAAATAAATAAATAAATTTAAAAGAGAGTAGTCATGCTGTAAATACCCACCTGAGGAGAGGGAGACCTCAGACACTGCTATGGACGGTGTGCCAGAAGTGTTTCTGCGACGACTCTTTGCGAGGTCGTCAGATGTGCTTTCAAGGGCAGCCAAATCCATGGAATTTTCGAAACCATGTTCCTTCTCACAAAGTAAAAATGAAAAAAGAACATTATGATGACTGCAGTTTACTTTCAAATCATATTAATATACTTCAGTATAACCACATTTATGTTGTATTACTCTTTAGGAGGGGCTAGTTAACATTAGCGGTGGGGGGTCCTCTTCAGGGATCCATATAACTCTAAAACTTACTATCAATAACCGCTCTATAAAACCCATTTGTTAATTAGGACAAAAGTTGTTGCAAATAATTTTACATTCACAAAACTGCAAGTGTTCCAATATATAATTAGCAAGAAAGATGATATAGGTACAGCTCCAATCTTAAATGAACTCTATATAAGAATATATAGAGGGGCGCCTGGGTGGCTCAGTCGGTTAAGCATCTGACTTCGGCTCAGGTCATGATCTCACGGTTCTTGAGTTCGAGCCCTGTGTCAGGCTCTGTGCTGACAGCTCAGAGCCTGGAGCCTGCTTCAGACTCTGTGTCTCCCTCTCTCTCTGCCCCTCCCCAGCTTACACTCTGTGTCTCTCTCTCTCTCTCTCAAAAATAAACAAAACATTAAAAATTTTTCAAAAAAAGAAAAAAAAGAATCTGGCTAGCTTTGCATCCTCAGAGTTATACACAAGCATAGTATTCTGTTTTCTCCCATATTTGTCCCCATTCTCAACACTCTCTTCCCCCAGTGACCCCCTACCTCCTACACCCCCATTTAACAGAAGACCGTGACCCACAATCCAGGTTAACACATGGCACAGAAGGGCTCCCAGGATACTGCCCCAGCCTTGCACCAGAGTCTGTTCTGATAGCTCAGTGCCTCTGCCATATCAGTTACTAAATATTTTGAATATCATTCCTTGTTAGGTTGCCAGCGAAGTAAGGGTAATCACCAACTATCAATGCACTTTTCTGGGTATGGAACACTACTGCTTGCTGAGCTTAGTATAAATATTTATAAATTTTAAATCTGCCTTTTACCTTATCAGCAAGTACAATTCAGACTATAAGTATTTAAAGAAATCTTCTATTTTTATTCAATCTGTCTGGATGCCTTTTGGCTTTTCCTTAAAAATATTTATAGAATCTGGCTGTTTACAGTCTCTGCTTTTCTTTTTTAAGTTTATGATTTATCTTTCCGAAGTAGCACTATAGGAAGAGTCGATATTTTAAATAAATATTTAGTTTTTATATTCAGTATTTAGATAATAACTATTTTTATTAAAGTATCATTGCCATATGATGTTAGTTTCAGGTAGATACCATAGTGATTCAACAATTCTGTGCATTATGCAGGGCTCACTACCATAAGCATAGTCACCATCTGCCACCATAGGATGTTATTACAATATTATTGGCTATATTCCCCATCCTCCACTTTTCATCTCCACGACTTAACTTATTTTATAAATGGAAGTTTGTACTTCTTAATCCCCTTCACCTATTTCACCCACCCCCTCATTCCCCTCTCCTCTGTCAACCACCAGTCTGCTCTCTGTATACATGAATCTGTTTCTGGTTTTGTCTTGGTGTGTTCATTCATTTTGATTTTTAGAATCCACATATAGGTGAAATTATGTGGTATTTTTCTTTCTCTGTCTGACTCCCCTTAGCATAATACCCTCTAAGTCCATCCACATTGTCACAAATGGCATGAACTCATTCTTTTAAAAAAATTTTTTGTATTTATTTATTTTTGAGAGACAGAGCACAAGCGGGGGAGGAGCAGAGACAGAATCCGAAACAGGCTCCAGTCTCCAAGCTGTCAGCACAGAGCCTGACGTGGGGCTCGAACCCACAAACCGTGAGATCATGACCTGAGCTGAAGTCGGACGCTTCACCGACTGAGCCACCCAGGCGCCTGATGAACTCATTCTTTTTTATGGCTGAGCAATATTCGATTGTATACATTTACTACTTCTTTATCCACTCGTTTATCATGGGGCACTGGGGCTACTTCCATATCTTGGCTATTGTAAATAATGCTGCAATAGACATAAGGGTACGTGTATCTTTTTGAATTAATGCTTTCCTTTTCATTGAGTAAACACCCAGTAGTGCAATTGCTGGGCTGTAGGGTACTTCAATTTTTACTTTTTGAGGAACCTCCATACTGCTTTCTACAGTGGCTGCACCAGTTTGCATTCCCACCAACAGTGCATAGGATTCACAACCTCCATTTCTATCCCCTTGTTCCAAAGCCCAGTGTCTCACTTGCAGGAAGACAATGGCATCCTAACTGGTCTGTTGGCTTTTCCACTTGTTCCCCTACAGCTGCTTCTCAGCACAGCCTCCAGATCCTGTATAAAAGAAGCCACATCTTCTGCCTATTTTTCATTGGATTATGTTTTGGGGTGTTGGGTTGTGTAATTTCTGTACATATTTTGAATTAAGGAGCACAGTCGTCACGATGAGCGCCAAGTGATGTATGGAATTGTTGAATCAGGATGCTGTACACCTGAAACTAATACAATCCTGTGCATTAACTATACTGGAGTTAAAAAAACTAATAAAAAATAACAAAAAAAGAAGCCACATCGTGTCACTCTTCTGCTCAAAACCCTCCAGCTGTCCCCAGCTTACTCCAAGTCAATGTCAAAGTGCATACAGTGGTCAGTCCCTATTACCTCTCTGAGCTCACTTCCTCCTCCTCCTCCCTTTGTTCACTCACAACAGCCAAACTGGCCTTCGTGTTCTTCCTTAAACATACCAGGCACGTTCCCACTTCGGAGTCTTAGCACTGGCTGTTTCTCTAGGGACGTTAAAAATATTTTAGGCACTGGTTGAACAGTGCCTTGACCATCCAAGAGGGAGGCCAGCCATAAGTAATTGGAACAGCCTTCCCTGTATGTGTACCTGCTGAATATCAGTGCTGTCCCTGCCTGGAGAAACACCTTGCTCCAGACTCCTACATAGTTAATTCTTTCACTTCAAGTGTTTGCTTGACCAGGACCAAGATTTCTTAAACATAGATGTCAGCTCTATGTATGGAGCTTCCTGCTTAACAAAAAATCTAGATGCTCATTGATTCAAAAGAACCATTTCCACACACACACACACACACACACACACACACACATTTGTTTATTTTTGAGAGGGGGGAGGGAGGGAGGAGCAGGGAGAGATGGGGACAGAGGATCTGAAGCGGGCTCTGTGCCAACAGCAGAGGGTGCGATGTGGGGCTTGAATCACGAACCCTGAGATCATGACCTGAGCGGAAGTCAGAGGCTTAATGGACTGAGCCACACAGGCAACCCATATTCTCTCTATATTTTATGTATAATGCAATTTAAGTCTTTATGGTGTGTTGATCCCTAATTTTAACAGGTGTGCATAAAGAAAAACTATTCAAATATTTCAAGATTCTACTTTTCCTGATTTAAATCAGTCTGGGAAAGTTTTAGTGCAGTCAACTTAGGAATTCTTGGCAAATAACACGGAAGATCAAACTAGGAGACTTCTAAACATTATTTATATTTTGTTTAAGCCACATAGCCATTTAACCCCCCATCATACAAATACCACCTTTGAACCTGCTCCTTCCCTTTCCTTCACATTTCTGGCTTCCCACCAAGAGCTAAGGGTGCAGGAAGTTCAGTCCTGATAACGAAGCATCTACAATTAAACAGCATAAACAACATGCTTCAAGATCCTGAGAACTCCGACCCAACCAGGCAATGGTGGTGAGGTCAAGTCTCGGAAGCTGGGTGTCCTTTCACATTTGTGGACTTACTCTACTGCTGGCTGAGGTCACGCTGCGTGTGCTTGGAGCCGGTGACCTCTGCGTGACAGGGGTCACTCCACTGCTCCGGCTGCTCTTCCGAGTTGCCGGGCCAGCTTCCTGGTCATAAAGGTCTGATGAACCAGTGCTTCTCCTAAATGAGAAAGAATATTCTGACTTTAACTAGGATGCAGACCAGCAAGCAAAGACACAGCCATGGAAAAGCTTCCAAGAAAATGATGATGACAAGTGAACCCCCCCGAAACGCACTGCAGCCACACTGGAATCGGTCGCTATCTTCCTCAGAGACTCACTAGGCTCAAGCCCATTTGTCTGACTCCAGGGTTTCTGTAACTGAGCTTCACCCGACTGTTCCAGCCTTATTTCCTACTGCTCACCAGCATCCTCCCACCTGCGCAGGTTCTCCGCTGTCCTCTCAACTCACCACACTCACGGCACCCGCTCCAGCTTCTACCTCTAAGGCTTTTTCTCATGTTCTCTCCACCTGCTATGCTCTATTTGCCACTCTGCACTTATGCAAATCTTCACCATCCTTCATGGCCCAGATGAAGGCCAGCCTCCCCTATCAGGCACTTCTTGTGAACCTCTGCTCTGCTCCGTTCTTACTGATTCACAGTCTTTGCCAAACTATGTAGCACTTCACTCCAGGATGTCTTATTTGGCTTCTAAGTGATCCACATATATGGGCCTTGTTGCCTCTTTCAACCTGAGCTCCTTGGGGACAGAGTTCATGACATATTTACCACATTATCTCTACCACCTTCATAAATGCCTTGGTGCAAAGGAGGCACTCAGTACATACTTAATCAAAGAGTGGGAATTATGTTTTATTTCCCTATGTTGTTTCAGTGTCTGACTCATGGTACACATTTAATAAATGTGGCATAAAAATAATGACATTTGGTAAATGGGCTTGACTCACTTTGTTTGCTAAAACTGATTCAATCCCATTCAATAATGATTATAAAATAATAGTTCCTGCCTTTGAGGTGATCATGATTTTCTGATTACATGGAGTTTCATAAGTATAAGTTTTGACAAATTAGATTTTAAGAGAAGTGTTTGTTCTATTTTATTCTTTATCCTCAGCGAACACAAAATACGCTAAGTGGTAAAACTTAAGCCTTTGTGAATTTCACTATTTGATTTACTATTTAGTAAGTTATAAGTGCATCTATAATCATAAGCATGTTAAACCCTAGACGTGATATTTAACAGTGATTAGAACTTACGTTTGAGCCAATCAGAAAAGATATGCAAAAGAATAGAGGAAGAGTGCTTTAAAAAAAAAAAAAGGATGTCTCACTGTGCATGTGACATTACTGGAAGACAAATCTGGCAGAAGAAAGAACCGGCAATGACCACTGCAGCTATCAACCACAGCTCCTAACTTTTTCAAGGCTCTGCACCAGAGAAGCCACCAAAATCAAATCAAATATGCCCTGATTTTTACTCCTGGCTACCACCACCCTCAAAAATTATGCAAAGAGAAGCTACATTTACTGAGTATTTTCTAGGTGTTTGACACTTTCCATGTCCCAACATCCCTGTAAGGAAAACATTCTTATTTTAAAGATGGGAACACTGAGTCCTAAAGAGGTTAGACAACTATTCCGTGTATGTAGGCATAGGTGTGTGTACACACACAACACACACCACCCCCACCACCACACCGTCTCACAGTTCGTACATAATAAAGTCAGGATAAAAATTGAAAATTGCCTGCCTACCCAAAGCCTATGCTCATTCTAGTTTCTCCTGTTGCTTACTCATCACTCACCAACATCAAATTGATAGAACCAGGCAGGCTGTACATTGCTAGAAGGAGCCATCAAGCAGAAAACAATTCAAGGGTGAGAGAGCTGGGGGTTAGTTTCTTGGAATCTGATGAAAAGAACCAAAAGTTCTCTGGGTAGCATTCCTATGATACCACATAGAAACAGTCTCTGGCTTCTCCCTCTAGATATGGCACCCTCAATGAATTATAGATTGCTCAGGAAGGGTCTAGGACTGTGTCTTGATTCTGACAAGAGAACAAAGTTTCATGATTAAATAAATTTATATAATTTGAGATTCTAAGTTCCTTGGAGACTTTCCAGAGCCCTCCAAGCTCAGGTGCTACACTTTTACACTTGACGACAGTTAACCATCTGAGTGATTTTGCTCATCTCAGAAGTCCTACCTAGAAAGATCTTAGAGACCTACCCAGGAACACTGTGGTGGAACCACAAAACTTTTCTACTATTTTAGGTAAAATCTCCTTTAAAAAACAAGGGCTAGACATTAATCTTGCAGAAATGAGCCAAGAAGATAGGAGCCAAAGGGACTCATGTAGATATATCTGCTTGTGCCTGTCCTGAAAGTTCTCCTTGACCCAGGTGGTTTTGAAAAAGTCCCCATCTCAGATGAGCTTCGCTAGAACCAAAAGTCCTACTTATGTAGAAGCTCTGGCAGAAGTTGATTAATTGTGGTGATGACATTCAAGAGGCTATCCTGTAATAATAAAAAAATTCTTATAAGTCAGCTACTGGAAATTGTTGCCAGAAGTACTACCTCAAAAATGACATATAATTTCACATTTGTCCCTGACATTTACCGTGAGCTTCTCAAAAATATTTTCCTCTCAGTCAGTTGTTTCAGTTGGTTAGACTAAAAAAGATTCAGTCTGATGAGGCATAATATCATAAATAGTTGGGTGCCAACTCTCTTAGATGTTATATAAAATATGACATAAAATACACAAATCATCGCCACTTAAATAGGAAGAGGATAAAAGAAGTCTAAATTCAAGAAGTTTAAAGTTCAATTAAGAAACAGCTATTTTTTGGGTCAGAGGACCTGAATAGGTATCTTCCCAAAGAAGGCATACATATGGCAGACACATGAAAAGATGCTCACCATCACTAATCATCAGGGACATGCAAATTAAAACCACAACGAGATCTAACCTCACAACTTTCAGAATGGCTAGATTCAAAAAGACAAGAAAGGGGCACCTGGGTGGCCCAGTTGGTTAAGCGTCCAACTCTTAATTTTGGCTCAGGTCACAATCTGCCATGAGATCGCGCCTCCATCGGGCTCCACATCCAGCTCCACATTGGGCATGGAGCCTGCTTAAGATTCTCTCTCTCCCTCTCCCTCTGCCCCTCCTCTGTGTGCTCTCTCTCTCTCGCTCTCTCTCTCTCTCTCTCTCAAAAAAAAAAAAAAGAGACAAGAAATAACAAGAGTTGGGTGAGGATGTGGAGAAAAGGGAACCCTTGTGCACTATTGGTGGAAATGTAAATTGGTGCAGCCACTATGGAAAACAATGTAGAGGCTCCTTAACAAATTAAAAGTGGAAATACCATATGGTCCAGTAATTCCACTCCTGGGTATTTATCCAAAGAAAACAAAAACATTAATTCAAAAAAAATATATGAACCCTTAAGTGTATTGCAGCATTATTTACAATGGACAAGATATTGGCGCAACCCAAGTGACTACTGATAGATGAATGGATAAAGAAGACGTGGTATATAGATAATGGGATATTACTCAACCATAAAAAAGAATGAGATCTTATCATCTGTGACAACATGGATGGACCTATAGGGCAAGGGTATAATGCTAAGTGAAATAAGTCACAGAAAAATAGATCATATGGTTGTATTCATATGTGGAATCCAAAAAACAAACGAAGAAATGAAGAAACAAAATGTAGAATCAGACGTATACATACAGAAAACAAACTGGTGGTTGCCAGAGGGGAGGGAGTGGGAGGACAGGCAAAATGAGAGAAGGAGAGTGGGACATAAAAGCTTTCAGTTATAGAATGAGCGAGTCACAGGAATAAAAGGTACAGCACAGAGAATAAAGTCAATGGTATTGTAATAGTGTTGCATGGTGACAGACGGTAGCTATATCTCCAGTGATCACAGCATAACATACAGAGTGGTTGAATCCCTGTTGTACACCTAAAATGAATGTGACACTGTGTCAACTATTCTTAAAAAATGAAAGAGCTTTTTTTGATTCAGATATCAGGTCACTGATACTTAAATTGGAAGTGTTAGAAATCAGTGTCAACAAAACTTCTAGCTAAAATTTGCTTAAAGGGAAACTGAAAAGAAAGACAGAGATTTTTCCTGTTCTAGAAGGGCCCAGAGTGTGGAGATAGGACACTGCCTGGGGAGCTCAGACATCCCAGGTTACCTGAAAGACACATTGCTTAGAGTAGGAAACCGTCTCGTTTACTTTAGCTTATGAAATATACTTTAAAAGCCTTCCATTTTGTTATCTCTAATTTCACAATGGCCCCAAATCTTGATAATGGCTTTCTAGATTTATTTTTAGATAAAGGATCTAAGGACAAGGGACAGAGACTATAATTTAATGAGTTGCCTTTGTGGATTATATAACCATCTCCCAGGAGTTGTAGTCCGGAAAGCATTTCCCAGGATGCAACCTTCCCAGAGTGGCCTGACAATGTTGAGTCTGTGCCCGCATGGTTAAATGAATACTCCCCCAAGAAAGCTCAACCAAAAGGCAGCATTAATATCAGAGATACTAACACTCACTGTGACAATGAGGCTAGTGCATAGCATGACACAGAGACTGCGTATTCTTTCTGTGGTTTATGCACTTCCCTAATTTTTTTTTTTGTTATATCAGATCTGAAATGTATATGTAAGAAAAGCAAGGGAGGTAACAGAAAGTGAAGTGATCCCATTAAATGGGAAAGTTGTTAAACATGAGAAAGAAAAGAGAAAAAAGCTGAACATAGGTCAACTTTCCAGTCTCTGGTGATTCCAAAATGCTTTGCCTTTCCTAACAGTCTTATGCGAGATGGGTGGTCTTCATCCGTGGCTGCACATCAGAAACAGTGGGGGAGCTTTTAAAAATCTCCAAGCTTAGACTACATCCAAGACTAATCACATCAGACTCTGAGCATGGGATCTAGGCCCATAGGATCGATATGTTTTAATGACACCACCCCCCAGTGATTCCAATATACAGCCAAGGCTGAGAAACACTGGGCTAAACTGTTGATTAGTTTGAATTTATTCATCTCAGACATCTCTCCATCTGCAATTTGCCCCCTCATACCACTATTTTCTTAACCTCAGTAATCATATCAATACAAATGATCTGTCC